ACTGTCCCAGGGGGGGATCCTCCCCGACAAATCGCAGAACCCTCGTCCTGACACTCCCTCCCTCCTTCCTTCCTCGCTGCCTCCCGGCTTGCTCCCCCGGTGCTCGATTCCTCCAGACGCAGCGAACTCACGGCTGGCGTCGTGCTGGCACCTGGGGCACCCTCCCCGCCCCCTGCTGCAGCAGCCCTGCGGGTCGCGGCACCGTGCAGATCTCTGCACCTGGCCGAGCACCGGCCGGTTCTCGGGCTGCCTTTCGGGTTGTTGCACCACTCAACACGGCGGGGTTCCGACGTTTAGAGCCTGCAAACGGACGCAAACTACCGCGGTGTTGGAATTCATTTTCTGTCACCCACGGAACTGTTCAGATGTCCCGGTGGAATAGGAAGGGAAGAATGGAGCTAGACACGGGAGCGCCAGGAGCCCTGTCGAAATCGGGCTGTGGCAGAGAAACAGCATCCTGCAGCACCAGGCGCTTTCCCACAGCCGATAACGAACGAAAGGAAAAGAAACCAGCGCCCACAGCTGTTTATCGAGGGAAACTGCAAGGACCTCTGCTCCCTGAATAATCTGCTCGGAATCGTTGCACCTGATGAGCTGCCGTCCCGAAGTTTGCCGTGCCTGAGGGCGGTGTGCGGGGGCTGCAAATCGCGCTCACCAACGTGGGGGACCCAACACCCTCCGGAAAGGGAGGGACCTCGCCTCTGGCTGCGCGTTTTCGCCCTGCGCACTGCTGGTAACTGCCGGGAGCACACCCAGATGCGCAATGTTTCAGCGTTTATACGCGGCACCAACGGAATCAAACGGATCGGCTCAGACTTTCACACCCAACAATCATTCTCGCAATTAACGTAATTGTCGGAAGTTAAAACGTACCGGCGCTACTTAGTCCTAGCTCACTCTTATCACCAGTCCACAGAATTTGATAAAAGTATATGCCTCGAGTCAATAAAATCCAACGTTAGAAATCAATAGTTTAACAGAAACGAATTCTAAAGCAACTGAAAGGCTTCCAAGGAAAATGAGATGCATTACCCACCGCAGCTGTATCGTGCATGTAAGTATCAACAGTTTTGCCACTCTATGCCTTCTGGAGCGCCTCCACCAGGCCATGTCTGCAGGCTCACTGCTGAAAGCAGATTTCTTTCTTCACTAGCCCTTATGCAATCAAATTCCAATTATCTTTCTTACATATAATCTAAAACGTAGAAAATCCACGGCTTCCTTCGAGCTAAACCCTGAAATAGTCTGCAGCCACTTATTTACTTTGAAATAAGTTCTGAATCTTCTGTTTTTCCTCCCTACTGCCTCTTTTCCTAATACATTCAAGTCTTTCATAAGTTCTCGCTGAGCAATTTTTCTAACATATATATCATAATTCGTAAAAAGTTTTTCCTCATATGGGTACACATGCGAGCCCACCCAAAGTACTTTGTCCTGGCAGTAGTCAGCCAAGATGCAGAGTGACGAGTATTTCCAAGAAATCTCCCTATCCAGGAAAGGCGCTGAAGACTCAGCATTTTCATATTTCAAGTGATCTGGGGACGTTGCATCCCCTTCACTTTGATGGGAAACCAGACTATTAAAAGCGACATCCTCGGAGCTCCTGAAAACACCATTTGAAGGAAGAGAAGCAGAACTATGCGGCAGCAAAGGGGAAGGCACCTTCCCCCTGCACAGGGAATTACTTCAGGGGCGAATTCAAGAGAAATCCCGGGCAGAGCAGCTCAGCCTGTCCCTGTTTCTGGTCACACCGGGGCTCCAGAGGAGCCTGCGACAGCAGCAGACACAAAACGCTTTCTGCTCGGCTCCGGGCTCTGAGCAACAGCCCCGGGTCCCCGGTGAATGCAGGACAGAGGGGAAATAATTCATACGTGTGCACAACATCTTCCTTAAGAATGGTTGAGAGAGAGCAAAGAATGGAGCTGAAAAGGAAAACAGACAAGAAGACTGGACTTGTTGCCCTCACTAAGTGCGAAGCCCGCGATACATCAATTACATGACCATGCATCAATTTCACAAAGAAATACTCATATAGGGCACTTTAGAGACACTAAATGAAGCATTCACTAAACCCAGATGAAAGGATTGTCTCAGCTTTCGTGCCCCAGGACCCTTACGCCATCGCTCCAACCTTCACGTTACCACCCCAGCTCGCTGAAACTCACACCCAAGGCAGAACAGAGCGACAGGGGAAGGAGAAAGACCGCACGAGCAAACAGAAAAGGACCCGGGACAGCAGCTCACCTCTGCCGTGCTCTCTGGGCTGGGAGGGTCCTTCCCGGAGGGGCCTCCTGGGCCAAGGTCCCCCGCCAAGACATGGTCAGGCAGCGCTGCCGTGCCCGGTCTCAGAAACGTGAAGTCCTTCTGGCCCGATTCAGAGGCCAAACACACCTCGTAGGAGTAGGGCAAGGGCAGCGTGCTGCTGCAGTAGTTGTAGGGTGCTTTGGGGCCAAGGCTGGAATAGAGTTCCTTATCGGAAGTTAGGAAAATGGGGGGGCTCCTGGCCCGTCGGCACTTGAAGAACACTACCAACATGACTGTGAAAACGAACAGCAAGGACACCAAAGCGAGCGCCACCACCAGAACGAGGTTTAGATCTGAAGTCAGCTCGGATTCGACAGCCTTGTCGCTCAGCTCCGGCAGCGCCTCCTGCAAGCTTTCGGCCAACACCACGTGCAGTGTGGCCGTGGCTGACAGCGCCGGCTGCCCGTGGTCCTTCACCACGGCCACCAGCCGCTGCTTCGCCGCGTCCCGCTCCGACACAGCCCGCGCCGTGCGCACCTCGCCGCTGTGCAGCCCCACGCGGAACAGCCCCGGTCTCGGCGCCTGCACCAGCTCGTAGGACAGCCACGCGTTGCGCCCCGCGTCCGCAGTCCACCGCCACCATCTTGGCCACCAGGTAGCCGGCCTCGGCTGAGCGCGGCACCACCTCGAACGGCACCGCACTCGCGCCCGCGCCGCCGCTCGCCTCCCCGCTCGCCGCCGCCGCCGGCCACAGCACCCGTGGAGCGTTGTCGTTCCGGTCCAGCACGAAGACGTGCACCGTCGCCGTAGCGCTGCGCGCCGGCTCCCCGCCGTCCTGCGCCCGCACCGCCACGGCGAACTCGCGGCACTGCTCGTAGTCGAAGGAGCGCTGCGCGTACACCGCGCCGCTCCGCGCCTCCACCGACACGTACGGTGCCGTCGCGCCCGCGCCGTCGCCCTCCAGCCAGTAGCTCACGAGCCCGTTGGTGCCCGCGTCCGCGTCCCGCGCGTGCACCCGCAGCAACAACGCGCCCGCCGCATTGTTCTCGGCCACGTAGGCGCTGTATGCGGCCTCCTCGAACACCGGCGCGTTGTCGTTCACGTCCGACACCTCCAGCACCAGCGCCGCGCGGCTCGACAGCGCCGGGCTGCCGCGGTCCCTGGCCACCACCGTCACCCGGTACTCGGCCGCCTGCTCCCGGTCCAGCGCGCCCGCCGTCACCACCTTGTACGAGCCGCCCGACGACGCCACAATGGACAGCGGCGCCTCGCCCGACAGCTCGCACAACACCTGACCGTTCTCCCCGGAGTCCCGGTCCCGCACTTTGAGCAGCGCCACGACGGTGCCGGGCGCCGCGTCCTCGGGCACCGGGCTCGACACCGACGTCAGCGTCACCTCGGGCGCGTTGTCGTTCACATCGAGCACCTCGAGCTCCGCTTTGCAGTGTGCCACCAGGCCGCCCCCGTCCCGCGCCTCCACCAGCAGCGTGTAGCCCTGCGTGTCCTCGAAGTCCAGCGCCTCTTGCAGCGTCACCGTCCCGTTCTCTGCGGCCACCTGCGAACTTCTGCAGCACTTTGGCCGGCATTTCTGCGAAGCCATAGGTGATGCGGGCGTTGCTGCCCTCGTCGCTGTCAGAGGCCGAGACATGCAGCACCACGGAGCCCGGCGGCGTGTCCTCCCGCAGGCTCACCCGATACCGCTCCTGCGCGAACACAGGCGCGTTGTCGTTGGCATCGGTGACGTTGATGCAGAGCTTGGGCGGTGCCGCTCCGGGGCGGCTCCCCGCCGTCCAGCTGCCGTCAGCACCAGGCGCAGGCTCGGTTCGCGCTCCCGGTCCAGCGCGCGGCGCAGCACCAGCTCCGCGAAACTTGCTGCCGTCCTGGCTCTCCTCTCACTTCCACCGCGAAGTACCCGTTGGCCTCCAGCTCATAGCCCTGCAGGGAGTTCGGGCCCACGTCCGGATCTTCGGCGATACCCAAGGAAAAAGCGGGCGCCGGGAGAAGTCAACTCGTTGATTTCCAGCTGGATGCTATCTCGCAAGAAGCGCGGCGCGTTGTCGTTAACGTCCTGGATGTCCACTTCGACGTGGAAAACGTTCAGCGGGTTCTTCACCACCACCTCGAAACTGACGGAGCAGGACGCCGACTCGCCGCACAGCTCCTCCCGGTCCAGCCTCTCGCTCACGTACAGGTTCCCGTTCTCGCCGCTGACGGTGAAGTAGTGCTTCTCCGAGCTGATCCGCAGCTGGCGTGCCGGCAGCTCGGCTGGGCTCAGCCCCACGTCCCGCGCCAGCGGCCCCACCAGCGAGCCCCTGCTCAGCTCCTCGGGGATCGTGTAGCGGAGCCGCTCCGGCGCCGCCCGGCAGCAGCAGCAGCAGCACAGGAGCAAAGCGGGCAGCAGCCCCTGCCCGCCCGCTCGCCGCCGGCTCCTCCGCCGCCCGCCTGCCATTCGCAGCAGCGCTCGCCGCGCTCCTTCCACCCGCCCCCGCCTCCGCTCCTGCCAGCCGCTGCCCGCCCCGAGCGCCGATGCCGCCGGAGCGCAGCGATCTGGGCACCTGGCTCGGCCGCCGCTCCCCGTCTCTCTGCTGCCCGCGCCTCTCCCAGCTCTGGCGGCGCCGGGCGAGCGAGCAGCCGGCGGGGGCAGGAGGCGGCGGCGGCGGCGGCCAACAGCGGCACCCGGAGGCCCCGCGGCGCCACCGCAGCCGGCGGCTGCCCGCGCACCTCGGGTCCCGGCCGCTGCTCGCCGAGGAGCGCTGACAGCAGCCGCCCGGCAGACGGCGCCGGCAGCTAGCGGGAGCGCGATTCATCGTTACGGGCTCTGTCGGTTTTCTGCCACCGGGCGGAAGGCGAGGCGAGCAGCTCTGTTCGGCTGTGGAAGTCAGGAGTCTGTCTGTGGGGCGCGTTACCGAGTATCGGAGCAGCGCACAGCAGAGCACAGGTAAGAACAGCCAGACGCATTGTAAGGGAAGCAGCCGACACCTTTCAGGAGTTTCCACTACTGCTGGGGGTGGTCTTCCCCCAGCTCTCGCATTTCATTTTTCTCAGCTATGACTAGCAGCAGCGACAAAGTGCTTCTGGAGAAAAGGTGTTGTAGAAAGAGAGCACCAGATCCACCGTGAACGCTGTTTTCTTTTAGGAGCTTCTTGGTTACATCCATTTCATTTTATATATCTGTCATAGTGACTGGGACTACGGGAGAACACGGCTTTATTCTCTACAAAAACAGCATCAGCACTTGCTCCCAGTTTTACAAATCAGTGAGATCACCACCACTTCCTACTCCAGCAGAATGAAGACAGCCCTGTTAAATCTGGTTTTCAAAAGTGCCTCTCTTTGTGAACAGAGTGAGAAAGTTGATGTAGGAACATAGGTGGTCAGCAAAAAGGTACCCAATGTACTGGCATACTTCTATTACCAGTGTGCTGTTTCAGTGGTTGTGAAGAAAAGCAATTGTATACCACCCTGTGATGGTGCCTGATGCGTATCCAATATGTCAGCTACCTTTCCAAGCATGGTCAGACACTTGTAGAAAAGAAGATGGCAAAAAAAGTCACAAGACAAAGTCTGAGAAAGGCTTTGAAGACAGGCAACACTAAAGAAGGACGTTTATTGATGACATAAACACAGTGACATGCAATTTGCACCAAAAAGACATAGAGCATTCTAGGATGGGGGGCTCTGAAAATGGAAAGGATTCAACTCACCTGAGTGCAACATTTATGAAAAAGTATTTAATCTTCCTCAAAACCTATTTTTATGATAGCACTGCCTCTTATCAGAAATCAAAGGAAATTATGGAATGGAAGGCTCTGAAAGCCAGCAAAGCTTGGTTCATGAGCCTCGACACAATATAACCAAGAGAATCATCTCAACTCCATACAGACCACAAATTTGGAAAACTACAAATACAATGGATTTTCCTGACTCTCCTATTGCTCTAAACAAGAGTACTGAGATTGCTCTAAAACATGACTCCATCAGTGACTACTGTGCTCATTTTTAGGGTCCCAGTGATAACTCATTTCCTGATTTATATCTTAAAAGAGAGTCTCTTGCAGCACCCTTACAAGATTTAAAGATGCAGGCTGCAGGACTCAGTTTCTCCTTCACAAGACTATTCCACAGTCATCAAGAAACAAGTGCTTGTGGAGTAATCCTTCTATCAGTAGAAGAGGCCACAACACCACTGTGTGAACACACTCTTCCTGGCAAACAGGACCATTTTCACAAAGAAATGTTACACTCTTCTTCAGTTGGAGAGAAACACACAAGAGGGTCACAGTAATGATCCCTGGGAGATTTAACCTGCTTTGACAAAACTACCAACAAGGTCGCTGTGTAGACAGGCTTCTTCCATCAGCAAGGCCATTCCTGTAACCACATAAAGGGGCTCCTCACTGGCTGGTGAGGAGCACAGAAGTAGAAAGAAATACTCACAAGCCACAATGCTATTAAGAATGTATGCTAGAGTATGCCTCATACATCGCTTGCATCAATTTTCAATCCTTACCATTAATGGATCACATGTTACTACAGGTAAGAGTAGACAAGGATACTGAAAGAGCTGCAAGGTGGCAAAGTGCAAATCATCAACCCTTCACAGTAAGTGTTTCCACATGCCTTGCAGTGCCACTCCATCTGTAACCTGTAATGCTGCCCAAGAGGAACTGCAAAAATACTCTGCATCACTTCCATTCCTCTCTTGAGCACAGTCCCACATACAAGATATATCACACAGCTTCACGACTCTGGGGTTTAGACCCAGACACCACCAAAGGTCAAACCCACTGCTGGATTATTCTGGTGTATGGACATGGCCCCAGCAATAAAGTACACTGTCTCCTGCTCTATGGATGCCACGGATGCTAGTTTTGACTGCTCCCCAAGGATGTGGGGATTGACAAAAATGGGAGAGATGTGCAAGGGCTTGTTCAGTGCTGGTAACCTCTCAAATTGAAATATCTTCCATGACCTCATTTTCAAGCAAGACCTCAGAGATTCAGTGAAATAGGAAAATAATTAAGTCCCCTGTCTCGATTCCTAACACTTCAACCCACTTTCAAGGACTGAGAAGAGGCTAGTAGCCTTATATAACCACAACATTTAGTGTACAAACATGCAGTTTTTTGAATCCACTTAAGCACCTTTGAACACCACAGAACCACAGTTAAGCACCTTTGGGAGAACACACTGTTGAGTTGCCATCAAGGTCAAGAAGCGCAACCATACCCAACCACAAGTATCTTAGAATTTTACATCTGCCCACAAGTAATTTTGTTCTTCCACCCTCTTCCTCCATGCAGAGCTTGGAGCTCACTTTTGACCAAAACTGGGGAATTCCCACAGGCAACAAGGAACTCACAGTAATGCCTGGGAATGGTCTCGTGGCTGAGGAAAGCACCACGTCCCATGTGGAAAACACACGTATTCTGAGAATCACCCTTCTGTCACAACTGGCTGAGGAACACATTGTATGAAGAACATTTACCCATAAGATAAGTAGGACACTTGCCTAAAGTAGGCACAGACAAATGAGGTTCTGCATTCACTTCATATAATGGCTTATATACGTCCTAAATAATGTTAAATGAAGAAAGTGACCCCTGCATCATTGTTCCACAAGCAGAGATTTTGTTGAAACACTTGAGACTCAACACAGAAGGTCACCAGGGCATCGCAGTCTTCACTGTGGGCACCAAAGTTCATCCCCAGATCACCTGGAACTCACTGAGGTCTTAAGCTGCAAGCAAAGCCTTCAAGTCTTCCTCCGGACTACACAGGAAGGGACTTCATTTTAAGAAAAATTCATCCTCTCTCATCAATTTTTCTACTCTGTGGCCTGCTCAGATTATAGATTATAGAACTATAAATGGACTGGCCTTAATACAGGGTCTTTTCTCATCCTAACTCTTGCAAGTAATGTAGAGAGATTCAGTTTTAGCTTCTGTTTCATTTCCTTCATACACAAAAATTTGTCTTCAGATGTCTGGAAGGACCTTTTCAAAGGAGGTAAAGATTTCCTGCAGTACAACTCTAGCATTTTCAAATACCAAAGCCCTATTCAGAAATGGGAAACATGAAGCACAACCTTCCTGGAAACAAAGATCAGAACACATAATTATGCCTACAGGAAAGCTATCCATCACAATGTTATGATGAGATATGGATGGATACACAAGTTTTCACAACGGAATTGTAATCAGTTCTACCCATTAAGGCATCATTGTACATACATGGTTTTTACACCAATAACCAATTAACATTTCTTTCAGGTCAGGAAAACAAGGATCACACTGTAAATGGAACAGGCCTTGATACCAGTACAAAATCAAACCACTGTCCAAACAACATCACTGTAGATCCACCTATTTTCCAGATTCAAAGTCAGTTTCTCACCTTCCTTGCTCTGCATGCACAGCTTTTAGTTGCACCATGGTCAACTTTTGGCCATGGACATCTTTTGGCCATATGTCACCCCTCAGCAAGAACATTTCACTTAGTGACATTGTAGGAAACATAAGTATATCAGACTATACTGAGCTGTCTTGATAGCTGTAAACATTCAAAATATGTATCCCCATAGCACTGCTACCCCAAGGCCTGCAGTTATAATAGGTCTTCCAAGCTTTGAAAGACTATCAGCCACATGGAGGACCAGTTTTAGACCCTGACAACATCAAGGCCAAAACCTGAAACCTGCAGATGTGAAGGAATCAATTTCCTATTGCAGATTATGTCAGTAGGAATATGTGAGCATAATAAGGGTAACCAGTAGACAGCAAAGTCACAGGAGGATCCTTCCAGACGTTCCTTCCTAGCCAGAGGTAGTCAAAGTAATTTGGACAAGACAAAATGTAAACTGCAATATAACAACTATGATAAAGCGCATGTTAACACCTATCTTCTCTGTGTTTAAAAGTAAAACACAATGAACTCTTTCACATGCTTCGTCTCTCACCAGACATCAGCCTTCTATCTGTCCAGAGAGCACAAGAAATGAAAGTGGTGAACCTGCAGCATGGCTGCTGCTACAGCATGTGTCTGTCAGTAAATGCATGTCCAGACCCATCCTTGATAGGTCAATGTTAAAAGACTGTGAAGCAGCAAAATACATCTGTTTCCTCCAGGAGCCCATCACACACAGCACCACTGAGGCATTGTAATATCCTCACAACATTCACAATTGCCTTTCATCTTCATAGCAGGCAAACATTGTCAAAGGACCAGTTGTGCAGACCGTTTCTCCGCCAAGAAGAAACAGTCTCAAAGACCACAGCATGGACAGATGCAAAGACATTTCTTTGCTCGATGCTTTATCATGAAGAATCATAAAGGTCAAGAAGATTGTAAAGGAGAAGTAGTTAAGTTAAATGGAAGGCCATTAAGATTCTGTTTCAAGACAATCTCACCCGACTCATCAGGCACACGTGCTATCAGGAAGATACCTGGCTTTGCTAACATCAGCAAAGGCGCAATTGCCCAGCCTGTTTCTCCACCACATGCACAAAGACTGCACTATAGACATGAACATGAAACACAGCCTTCCTGGAAAAAACAGCCTAGATATGTAACTACAACAAAGAAAAAACTCTGTGTAACAATATTATTGAAAGAGATGAATAGAGAAATGAGGTTTCATGCAGGAATTACAAGCCATTCTACCTATGTATCATTGTTCTAAATGCACAGTTTTTATTCAAACTTTTTATTATCAAAGGATTATTTGCCTTTCAGCACAGGAAAATCAGGATTGTAGCATAAATGGCAATGGCCTTGGCATTAATTATGAAATCAGAGTGTTGTCCAGCCCAAACTATGTTGATCAAGTTATTCTCCAAGTTCGACACCAGCCTCTCAACCTCCTTGCTCAGCATTCACAGCCAGTATCCAGCTTTTGGCCACATGTCAGACACAGCAACAGCATTTCATTCAGTGGTATTTTAAAGAAACTTAAGTATATCAAAATAATGACAGCTGCAAACATTCAAGGTACATATGGAGTCAGCTCCCATAGTTCCACAATACTAACAGATCTTCCAGTCTTTTAAGGGTTCTCTGCCATGCTGAAGCCCAGTTTAGATCCTGGCAACAAACAAGACAAAAATGTGAAAACTACACAAGTGAAGGACTTCACTATAACTCTACAGACATTCTTCTTTGGTTTACCATGACACTGTGCAAAAAAATAAAATAAAATAAAATAAAATAAAATAAAATAAAATAAAATAAAATAAAATAAAATAAAATAAAATAAAATAAAATAAAATAAAATAAAATAATGGACCTGCAACACTGTTTCCCCAGTCCTACAGTTATAAAAGATCTTCCAGTCTTTGAAGGATTATCAGATACATTGAGGCCCCAGCATTAGTCCTTGAAAACAAAGAAAGAAAGAAAGAAAAACAAAACAAAACAAATAAACATGAAACCTACAGAAGTGAAATAATCAGTTTCAGGTTATGCCGCTAGGTACTTATGCATACAGTAATGAGGAGAGGAGAGGAGAGCAGAGCAGAGCAAAGCAGAGCAGAGAAGCTAAGGCACCTATGGTCTATACAGGAAAAATAAAAGTGGAGTGAACTCTGTCATCTGCTTTGTCTTTACAGAGACATCATATATTCACCTGTCCAACCATTATGAAATGACACGAAAGTGAAGGACACCAGTGGTAATGCTGTTAACAAAATACAACTGTTACCTCACAAGGGAAAGGAAAGGCAACTTGGTTTAACATCCACTGTATCGATGTCAAAAGCAAGGCATCCTGCTGCTCAAAATTTGTACTTTGACTAACTGATGATTAGACAACCAAAAGCCAGACTTGTAAAAAGTGCTTCAGCTATCAAGCTCTGTAAGATAACACCTCTATTAGTCTTCTAGTCCATATCTGAAGCCTCATCCAGCTGGTGAAGACTACATAAAAAAAAACAAACACAACACTTCTAAGCTGTATCGCTAATAGGAATGCATGCTACTGTGCACCTCACACAGTGCTGGCATCAACGTTCAATCCTTAGCAAAGGCAGATCACGTGATGTTACAGGCAGAAGTGGACAACGACAGAAAACAAGCTGTAGAGTGGCAGTCAACATGAAAATGATTAACCCTTCATGGTGAGAACATATCAACATAACTTGCAGTGCCACCCCATCTGGAACACTGCCAAGCAAAGAGCACAGCAATACTCTGAGTGAATTAGGGACATTAGGGGCAAAGCTCTCCTGCCAACAGTCCATGCCCACAAAGGACACCTAGAGGAAGAGTGCAAAAGGCTAAACACATGGGGAGTGAGACAAAAAAAGCCCGAGAAAGAGAGTGTGAAGGGAGGGACTCAAGAGGCACCGTGAGAGTGATTCACCAGGAGGGTATTAGGGTGTACACAACAGGCACCGGCAGTATCTTCTCAGAGCAGCGACAGAACTCAAACACTGCCAAGGGCATTCCATTCAGTGACATTTTAAGGAAACTTAACCAAGCTGTAAACATTCAAGCTCTGTATGGAATCAGCTACCTCAAGCCCACATTTCTTGCAGATCCTACAATCTTTTAAAGGTTCTCTGCCACACTGAGGCCCAATTTAGACAGTAACAATGAACACAGCAAGAATGTGAAAACTACAGAAGTGAAGGACTTCACGATCACTTTACAGATGTTCTTCTTTGCTCTGCCCAAGCATTATGCTTAATGAGATTCAAGTAATGGACCTGCAACACGGTTGCTCTCATAGTATGTGTCTGCTTGCAAAGACAATTCCAGCTCTACTCCTGAAAGGTCAATGTTTGAAGATCATAATGAGAAGTCAAAGCCTCCAAGAGCACTTCACACATGAACAATTCCCAAACTACGCCCAACTGTTACGATTGCCTTCCCTCTTCATGACAGCCTGAACATCATCAAAAGACCAATTGGCCAGCCCGTTTTCTCCACAATGTGCACAAAGACTACACTATGGATGGCTCCAAAGAAAATTTTATTTTAGACGATATGCAGCTAAGTTACACACATGGACATTTTTGAGTATTCATAGTAGTAGGGCATATAAGGTAGATAGTAGGGAATGAATTCCCCAGAAGGTCTTCCTGAAGCTTCCAACACAGGAAAAATAGCACTTCAAATGCAAAACCTATTCATCAGAAAGACTTCAAATTGCATGAACCACAGCTGTATGCCTAGGGGAATAACTACAACAAGCAGGGAGATAGGCATCTGTTCTTCTAAAGCTCCAGACACAGTACCCGTACACTCTCACCTCAAACCTTTCACAACTTCAGTGCTTTACTTTCATCCTCAGAATCTGCAAAGACATCTCGCCAAAAGACGAGTTCAATGAACCATTTCCCTATATCACACACCACAGCCACACTATCAAGGAATACCAAGAAGGGATATGTGCCCAGCCGTTCCAAAAGCATACTAATGATCTAAGAGGAGAGAAAGGAGCTTCCACCAGAGACTGGGTCATCAGAAACTTTTGGAGGGGAATCTCCCCCTCCTGTAAGCACATGCGCTGCTCCACACAAACATTCCTCTTCCACTAACATCACGTATACATCCATTCTGGGGAAACAAAAATGGAAGAGAACACACAAGTACTCTCACATCTCCAGCCTTCCACCCCAGCTCCAACTTGCACCACGGAAAATAACATTCTACCATATGTTGGCTGCTGCCAAGAACGGCTCATAGAGTGACATATTAAGGAAGCTTAAGTATAACAAATTTCTTGCTGTGAAAGCAACCAAAGTCCCTGTTCTTTATGAAAACAGCTCTCCCGATACGAAATGTAACATACATAACAGACTTTTAAGGGTTCTCTATGATACGAAGGCCCAATATAGACACTGTCAACATACAGGGCAAAATCATGAAACCCACAGAACACAAAAAGGACTTCACTTTCACCCTTCAGATCTCATTATTTTATCTTAGCAAAAACTATGCTACATGAAATTGAAATGATGAACACAAAACAGCTCTGTTGCCATACATTATGCCTGCTAGTAAACATTGCTCCATTCTTGTGAGCTCAGTGTTCAAGCACAAACATTACTAAGATATTCTGTCAAACCCAGCACATCGGTGGCAATCACACATATATGTCTTTCATCTCTATAAGAGGTGCGGACAGCGAGAGAGCAAAACGGGCGAGAAAGAGGCGAGCTCGGAGGGAGGGACTCGAGAGAATCCGCTAGAGCGACTCACCGGGAGGGCGTCGGGCGGTGCGCCGCGGGCGCCGGCAGCGTCTTCCCCGAGCAGCGGCGCGGCCTTGTCGGGCGGCGGCCGCGCCGGGAGCGTGTTGCAGCAGCTGTCGGCCGCCCAGCGCCGCTGGCTCTTGCGCGAGTCGGCCGTGAGCGACACCTCGTGCGAGTAGGAGTGCAGGAAGGCGCGGACGCCGTCGATGCCCACGAAGTGCGAGGCCGGCACGCCGCGCAAGGCGCCGCTGGCCGGCGGCAGCAGCTGCGAGCGGCGCCAGCGCCGCAGGCGCAGCGCCAGCAGCAGCAGCAGGAAGGCGACGAAGAGGCACGACACGGCCGCCACGGCCAGCACCAGCCAGCGCGTCAGGCTGCCGCCGGGCTCGGCCGGCGCCGCCGCGCTGCCCAGCTCCGACAGCAGCTCGGCCACGCTCTCGGCCAGCACCACCGTCAGCGTGGCCGTGGCCGACAGCGCCGGCCGGCCCTGGTCCTTCACCACCACCACCAGGCTGTGCCTGGGCGCGTCGCGGGCCAGCGGCGAGCGCGCCGTGCGCACCTCGCCGCTGTGCAGCCCCACGCGGAACAGCCCCGGCTCCGTCGCCTTGGCCAGCTCGTAGGACAGCCACGCGTTCTGCCCCGCGTCCGCGTCCACCGCCACCACCTTGGCCACCAGCGCGCCGGGCTCCGCCGAGCGCGGCGCCAGCTCCACGCCCGTCCAGCCCGCCGCCGCCGCCGCCGACGACGACGACGGCGGGTACAGCACCTGCGGCGCGTTGTCGTTCTCGTCCACGATCAGCAGCCGCACCGACACGTTGCTGCTCAGCGCCGGCGCGCCGCCGTCCTCCGCCCGCACCCACAGCCCCACCTCGCGCACCTCCTCGTAGTCGAACGAGCGCAGCGCGTACAGCGCGCCCGTCTCCGCCTGCACCGACACGTAGGACGACAGCGGCGCGCCCCGCACGCGCCCCTCCGCCAGCCGGTAGCGCACGCGCGCGTTCTGCCCCCAGTCCGCGTCCCACGCCCGCACCGTCAGCACCAGCGCGCCCTCGGCGTTGTTCTCGGGCAGACGGGCGCTGTAGCGCGCCTCCGCGAACACCGGCGCGTTGTCGTTCACGTCCAGCACGCGCAGCGCCAGCACCGCGCTGCTCCGCAGCGACGGCGACCCGCCGTCCGACGCCCACACCGTCACGTTGTACTCCGACACCTCCTCCCGGTCCAGCTCCCGCGCCGTCACCACGCTGTAGTAGCTGCCCACCGAGCTCCGCAGACGGAACGGCACGTCGCCGACCAGCGAGCACCGCACCTCGCCGTTGGCGCCCGAGTCGCGGTCCTGCACGTGCAGCAGGGCCACCACCGTCCCCGGCGGCGCGTCCTCCGAGATCTCGCTCAGCGCCGACCGCACCGAAATCTCGGGCGCGTTGTCGTTCACGTCGCTCACCGAGATCGAGACCGTGGCCGTGTCGAAAAGCTCCCCGCTATCCCGTGCCTGAACCCCGAGTTCATAGGAGTCGCTTTCTTCAAAATCTAGAGTCCTCACCAGCCTGATCGATCCTGTCTCGGGATCCAGGTGGAAGATCTTCGAGGCTTTTTCAGTTATTTTCTTAAGCGAGTATTTCACATCACCGTTGATTCCCTCGTCGGCGTCGGTGGCTGTGAGGGTGAGCAGGGTGGAGCCCACGGGCACGTCCTCGGGCACGCGCACAGCGTACACCGCCTGGCTGAACACGGGCGCGTTGTCGTTGGCGTCCAGCACAGACACGCGGATGCGCGCCGTGCCCGTCCGTGCCGGCTCGCCGCCGTCGCTCGCCCTCAGCACCAGCTCGTGAAACGCCGCCTCCTCCCGGTCCAGCACCTTGGCCAGCACCAGCTCGGGACGCTTCTCGCCGTCGGCTCCCGCCTGCACGGACAGCGAGAAGTGCTCGTCTCCGCTCAGCTCGTAGCTCTGCAGGGAATTCACTCCCACGTCCGGGTCGTGAGCCTCGGCCAGGGGAAAGCGGGACCCGGGAGCTGTCGTCTCGCTCATTCTCAGTTCCATTTTAGAATCACGGAAGCTGGGGACGTTGTCGTTAATGTCCGTGATTTCCACTTCTATCTCGTAAACTTTCATCTCCCCCTCCACGATCACCTCACAGCGCAGCACGCATCGCTGCACGTCCTCGCACAGCTGCTCTCTATCTAGCCTCTCCGCCGTCACCAGGTGGCCGCTGTTCACATGCAGAGCAAAATACCGCGTCCTCTCTGCCGACACCACTCGGGCGCCGCGGTCGTGGAGCGCCGCCGGCTGCAGCGCCAGGTCCTTGGCCACGTCGCCCACGAAAGAGCCCTTGGGCAGCTCCTCGGGCACCGAGTAGCGCAGCTGTCCCCACGCCGCCTCCCACGCCGCCACCAACACGCAGCACAGCAGCGCTCGCTGCCTCCGGCCCCAGCGCCCTTCTCTCGGCGCGCACATCTCCGACACGGCCCTGCCGCCACCGGACGCCAGCCAAAGGCTCCCCTTCGCCACCCCGACTCTTCACTCCGGCTCTGGACCAGATTCACGCTCCGGCGCCCGCTTTAGTTCCCTTCTCCGGTACCGCCACCTTCCCGTCTCGCCAACCCTTCCACCTCGCTGGACCTCGGCTCCGCACCGCGGGGCCGCTCGCATCCCACCCGGCCGCCGACACAGCGAGCGAGCGAGCGGGCGCTAAGGGCGGGGCTGGCTGCAGCGCTCCGCTCCTTCCTCTCCTCTCCTCCGTGGTGAACAGCGGCGCCCGCAGCCGCCGCCCGGCACTGCACGTACGGCTCACAGCGAGCGCCGCCGCCCTGCCTCTTCCGCGGACACCTTCGGTCCCCGCGGACGCGGCGCCACGACACATTCCCCTGCGACCCGGCACAGAGCAGGTTCGTTTGCCGTCTCTTCTTCGAGGAAAAGATCGAATACGTTCTTCCTGTTGCTTATGAGTCATTGTGAATATAGAGGGCTTGTCCTGATGTCTCGATGCATGGCAGTTAAAATTATTCGTTTTACTTCTTCCTCAAAGTAATTATCATTCTTACAGCAAGTTTGCAGGACAGTCACTTCATCTAATTGCAAGGATCGTTCTTGCAGTCCTTTTTGAATGAATATTTTCTTATCTTTCCAACACTTTGTATTCATTTACATCTTCGTTTATAACTTCTGCTGTTGTTCCCATGTCAACAACTGATATAAAACAGTTCTCCCTGTACATGTGCAGCATCAAGGAATAAACAGGTCCCATCAGCTCTCTGAGATGCCCGAGCACTCACATCACATCCCTGTTATTTAGCAAACCAGTCTGGGCACTTGCCTCTGATCAGTTTCCCCCACTATAAATGCAGTCTTGGAGATCACAACAGGAAAAGATGCTTTTCTAACTTTCATTCACTTAAATGGTTTTCCAGTAAAATACATATATAATTCGTGTTGTCGTTCCAATATCAACAACTGATATGAAACAGTTCCCCATGTAAGGGTGCAGTATCAAGGAACAAAAAGGTCCCCTCAGCTCTCCGAAAAGACACTTTACTCACTCCACATCCCTGCTACTGAGCATACCACTCTCGGCACTCGCCTCTGATCACCTTCCCCCACTATAAATGCAGTCTTGGAGATGACAATTGCTGAAGATGCTTGCCTATTTTTCATTCACTTAAATGAATTTCTAGTAAAATGCCTACCCATAACACAAAAGAAATTCCCATGGCATTCACTATGAAGGTAGCATAGAACCATGGGACATGAGAATGCCAGTGTACATACAGATGTAAGATGAGGGCAGATCTTGGCATCAGTTATGAAACATGATACATTCCTTTGAGGAAAAGCCAAAAGAAGACCATGAAATATCTTCAGCACTAAGCATCAATAATAGTTTCCCGATTCTGTAATGCAGAATCAGTGGATCTCATTCTACATAATAATCATTCACAATCATGGCTAACCTGTTATTACATCATTACTCGGGACCAGTTACAGCTCCAAATTAGTGCTTCCATGGAACACCTGCTCCCACAGTACCCTCTTTGCCTTCACCTTCATAAATGGTGGTGACTTCAGCTGCACCCTTTCACTTCGCAGGCCTCCCCTCCATAAGCACTTTTTGTTTTATATTAAACTTTATTTTTAGGGAAACATTATTGCCTTTAAGGACAGGGACACCGTGATCAGAACACAAATGATGTAGACTTTGGCATCAGGCACAAAAAAAAAAAAGCATTCCCCAGCCAAAGACACACTGACTCCAAGCTCTAAGCCTGCCTCTCAGCTTCCGTACTTTCCAGTCACAGTCTTCATCTGCACAGTGGACAACACCGTACTTCTTACTATCTGTCAGACAAGAAAGGAAAAGGGCTTATAATTCTCTGACAGATTATTGAAAGACAAATATATCAAAATAGTTCTCTCCACAGGAGGAAACATTCAAGGTCTGGATGGAAACTGCTCCCCCAGTCCCACCATTCTAACAGACCTTCCAATCTTTTTGGGGTCTCTGCCACACTCAGGCCCAGTTTAGACACTGGCAGAAAACAAGGCAAAAATGTGAAAATTGCACAAGTGAAGGACTTCACTGTCACTCTACAGATCTTTTTTTGATCTGCCCCAACAGTATGTAGAATGAAATTCAATGGATGCACCTGCAACACTCAAGCAATGTTTGAGGCTTTGTGGGGTTAAATTTAGAAGGGCCAAACTCCAACAGGACCTCAAGCTGGCTACAGCCCTTAAAGACAATAAAAATGTTACCTAAAAATACCTAAACAAGAAAAGGAGCACCAAAGAGAATTTCCATCCTTTATAGGATATGGGGGGAAACAGTGACAGGACTTGAGCTCCTTACTGCCTTCTTGGCCTCAGTCTTTAGCAGAAAAAGACCAATAGTTTTCTGGGTACCTCATCCCCTGACTACCTGGTAGATAGGGATGGAAGCAGAATGAAGACCTCATAATCCACCAGGAAATGGTCAGCAACTTGCTAAACTAGTTATACATATGCAAGTCTATGCATCCAGAAGGGATCCGCCTGGGGGTACTTGAGGAAGATGGCGACAATGCTCACCACATCACTTTCCATCATTTACCAGCAGCCCTGGATATCGGTGGAGGTCCCAGTTGACTGGTGGCTACCAAATATGATGCCCATCTACACGAAGGGCCAGAAGGACAATCTGGGAAACTACAGGCCTGACAGTGCTGGGAAAGCTCATGGAGCAGAACAGCTTTAGTGCCATCATGTGGCACTTACAGGGCAACCAGGTAGTCAGGCTCAGTCAACAGGGCTTAATGCAAGGCAGGTCCTCCTTCATGAATCTGATCTCCTTCTGTAAAAGGTGATGTGCCAAGTGGATGAGGGAAAGGCTGTGGATCTAGTCTACCTTGAGTTCAGTAAGGCTTTTGAACACTCTTTCCCACAGCCTGGAGAAAATGGCTACTTATCAAAAAATGACCTCTAAGTATTGGTCAATAGCTGGTTGAATATGAGACAGCAGTGTGTTCCGGTGGTCAAAAAACCCAGTGGCATCCTGACTTTTATCAGAAATAGTCTGGCCAGCAGGACTAGGGAAGTGATTGTCCCTCTGTACTCGCCTCTGGTGAGGCCATACCTCAAATGCTGAGTTCAGATTTGGATGCCTCAATACTGGAAAGCTATTGAGGTGCTGAAGCAGGTCCAAAGAAGGACAATGGAGTCATTAAGGGGTATGGAGAACTGATCTTATCAGGAGTGGATGAGGGAGCTGGGGTTGTTTAGTCTAAAAAAAAAAAAGGAGGTTCAGGGCAGATCTTATTGTGTTCTACAGTTACCTTAAAGGGGGGCTATAGCAAACTGGGGATCATCCTGTTCTCCTAAGAACCATGTGATAAAACAATACAAAATAGCCTCAGATTGCTCCAGGGGAGGTTTACATTGGATATTAGGAAAATGTGTTTCACTGCAAGGGTTGTGAAGTATTCACAAAGGCTGCCCAGAGATGTAGTTGAGTCACCAACATTGGAGGTCTTCCAAAAACGTGCCGATGTACAGCTTAGTGACACTGTTTAATGGTAGACTTGACATTGCAAGGTTAAAGGTTGTGCTAGAAGCTCTAAGAAGTCTTTTCTGATCTAAATGATTCCAGGTTTATATTTCAAATGAAAATGAAACTATAAATATAAACATGGGGCCTTTTCTCATGATACATCTTGTGAGCAATTTGTTTCCCGTATAGATAACAATTTGTCTCCAGACAGCTGACAGGACATTCACAACGGATATAACATTTTGCTGCAATACAAACTTCACATTTTCAAATGTAAAAGGCCTAATAAAAATGGGAACTACAAAGAACAATCTTCCTACAACCAAACGCCTGAAAATGGAATTACAACTAGGAAGAAATGTTATATCCCAATACAGACATGGGTGGACTTATGATTTAATGATTTCAAAGATATTAAAAAACAATATGCTCAGACATCATAGCTCTACATACACAGTTTCTGTACAGAACATTTTGGTATCAGAAGATTAGCACTGCCTTTCAGGACAGCAAAACCAGGATCAAATGGTGCAGAAATGCTGCAGAAAATGTCAAAATTATGAAATCAAACATAATATATGCTACAAAAATTGGCATTCACAATATAATCATACTACTGCCCAAACAACATCACTGCTGACACACGTTTTTTTACAAATTAAGAACCAAGATCTAAACCTCATTCCTCTGTTTCACAGCATTCAGTTGCACTACTCTCAATAACCAGATTCTAACTGTATGACTGCAACTAATAAGGGTTTATCATTCAGGTGAATATTAAGGAAACATAAGGATATCAAAGCCTTTCACATCAGAGCAGTAAACTTTCAAGTTATGTATGGAAACAGGTCTCCTAGTTCGACAATTAATAACAGATCTTCCAGTCTTCCCAGGGTTCTCTGCCACACTGAGGCCTAGTTTTGACAAAAAAGTCAAAACTGCCAAATCCACATGACAAGAAATGGACTTTACTTTCACTCTTCAGAACCCATTCCTCAAACTCACCACATATTATGCAACACAAATTCAAGTGAGGAAGCCACAACAAAGCTGTTGCCATACCATATGCTTGATAGAAAAGCCTTCTCCTTTCTTGAGAATTCAATGCTCACACACTACTCTTTCCTCCAATAGCCCTTGACACACAGAATCTCTGTGCAATCTCAAATGCAAATTTTGAGTCCTGTTCACCTCTACAACAGCCAAGCAGATGTCCTAAAAGGATAATCAGTAAACAAGGCCATTATCCCAACCCATGCACAAAAACAGCAGTATAGATCAACACTTGAAAGACATTTCAACCCATGTTCATACAGTAACAGAAAGGCTAAATAGATGATAGAGGAGGGGCAGCCAAATCAAACATGAGACAATTAAGATTCTGCTTCAAGGCAGACTACTGATCAAACACATACGCAATGAGGATGATATATCTTAACCATCTGATAATCTCAAGTAGACATATACTCAGAATAGGTTAAAAAAATGGAAAAAAAAAAAAGAAAAACAGGCATGATATCTATCAGGATGAAATGAGCAACCACTTACCATGGCTGAATACCCCATCTAGAGAACAGCTGAAGGCAAAAGCCCGACTCATCTCATACCTTCTACACTAAGCGTAAAGCTGCAAGCAGAGCCCATGCTTGGCTTCCCTGAGCCAGGGCAAGTAACCTACAACCAGCACCCAGAGAAGCTCTACCTTGCTCAGCAACAAAACTCACTGGCCGGGAAGGTTTATCTAAATTTTGAAATCAAACATGCTAAATGAGTTGGCATTCACAATAAAATCATACCACTGCCCAAACAATATCGCCACTTATCACACATTCTGTTCAAATTCAGAACCAAGATCTCAACTTCACTCCTATACGTTTACAGCATTCAGTTGCACCACGCTCAATATTATCCTTCCAACTGTATGTCAACAGCTAATAAGGGCTTATCATTCTGGGACATCATAAGTGGAAGCAGAACGGGGAGGCAAAGGCAATGAGCAGAAAGGGAGGCAAGCGCCGAGAGGGAGGGCGTCGGGGTGTCCGGAGCGACTGACTCACCGGGAGGGCGTCGGGCGGTGCGCCGCGGGCGCCGGCAGCGTCTTCCCCGAGCAGCGGCGCGGCCTTGTCGGGCGGCGGCCGCGCCGGGAGCGTGTTGCAGCAGCTGTCGGCCGCCCAGCGCCGCTGGCTCTTGCGCGAGTCGGCCGTGAGCGACACCTCGTGCGAGTAGGAGTGCAGGAAGGCGCGGACGCCGTCGATGCCCACGAAGTGCGAGGCCGGCACGCCGCGCAAGGCGCCGCTGGCCGGCGGCAGCAGCTGCGAGCGGCGCCAGCGCCGCAGGCGCAGCGCCAGCAGCAGCAGCAGGAAGGCGACGAAGAGGCACGACACGGCCGCCACGGCCAGCACCAGCCAGCGCGTCAGGCTGCCGCCGGGCTCGGCCGGCGCCGCCGCGCTGCCCAGCTCCGACAGCAGCTCGGCCACGCTCTCGGCCAGCACCACCGTCAGCGTGGCCGTGGCCGACAGCGCCGGCCGGCCCTGGTCCTTCACCACCACCACCAGGCTGTGCCTGGGCGCGTCGCGGGCCAGCGGCGAGCGCGCCGTGCGCACCTCGCCGCTGTGCAGCCCCACGCGGAACAGCCCCGGCTCCGTCGCCTTGGCCAGCTCGTAGGACAGCCACGCGTTCTGCCCCGCGTCCGCGTCCACCGCCACCACCTTGGCCACCAGCGCGCCGGGCTCCGCCGAGCGCGGCGCCAGCTCCACGCCCGTCCAGCCCGCCGCCGCCGCCGACGACGACGGCGGGTACAGCACCTGCGGCGCGTTGTCGTTCTCGTCCACGATCAGCAGCCGCACCGACACGTTGCTGCTCAGCGCCGGCGCGCCGCCGTCCTCCGCCCGCACCCACAGCCCCACCTCGCGCACCTCCTCGTAGTCGAACGAGCGCAGCGCGTACAGCGCGCCCGTCTCCGCCTGCACCGACACGTAGGACGACAGCGGCGCGCCCCGCACGCGCCCCTCCGCCAGCCGGTAGCGCACGCGCGCGTTCTGCCCCCAGTCCGCGTCCCACGCCCGCACCGTCAGCACCAGCGCGCCCTCGGCGTTGTTCTCGGGCAGACGGGCGCTGTAGCGCGCCTCCGCGAACACCGGCGCGTTGTCATTCACGTCCAGCACGCGCAGCGCCAGCACCGCGCTGCTCCGCAGCGACGGCGACCCGCCGTCCGACGCCCACACCGTCACGTTGAACTCCGACACCTCCTCCCGGTCCAGCTCCCGCGCCGTCACCACGCTGTAGTAGCTGCCCACCGAGCTCCGCAGACATAACGGCACGTCGCCGACCAGCGAGCACCGCACCTCGCCGTTGGCGCCCGAGTCGCGGTCCTGCACGTGCAGCAGGGCCACCACCGTCCCCGGCGGCGCGTCCTCCGAGATCTCGCTCAGCGCCGACCGCACCGAAATCTCGGGCGCGTTGTCGTTCACGTCTGTCACAGAAATCGAGACCGTGGCCGTGTCGAAAAGCTCCCCGCTATCCCGTGCTTGCACCCAGACTTCGTAGGAGTCGCCTTCCTCGAAGTCCAGGCTCCTCAACAGCCTGATCGATCCCGTCTCCGGATCCAGAAAAACTTTGTCTGTTAGCTCGGCTGTCAGTTTTATCACTGAATATTTAACCTCGCTGTTGATTCCCTCGTCGGCGTCGGTGGCCGTGAGGGTGAGGAGCGTGGAGCCCACGGGCACGTCCTCGGGCACGCGCACCGCGTACACCGCCTGGCTGAACACGGGCGCGTTGTCGTTGGCGTCCAGCACAGACACGCGGATGCGCGCCGTGCCCGTCCGTGCCGGTTCGCCGCCGTCGCTCGCCCTCAGCACCAGCTCGTGAAACGCCGTCTCCTCCCGGTCCAGCGCCTTGGCCAGCACCAGCTCGGGACGCTTCTCGCCGTCGGCTCCCGCCTGCACGGACAGCGAGAAGTGCTCGTCGCCGCTCAGCTCGTAGCTCTGCAGGGAATTCACTCCCACGTCCGGGTCGTGAGCCTCGACCAGGGGAAAGCGCGACCCAGGAGCTGTCGTCTCGCTCATTCTCAGTTCCTTTTCTGCTTCTACGAAGCTTGGCGCGTTGTCATTAATGTCCGTGATTTCCACTTCTATCTCGTAAACTTTCATCTCCCCCTCCACGATCACCTCACAGCGCAGTACACATTGCTCCATCAGCCGGCACAACTGCTCTCTATCTAGCCTCTCTGCCGTCACCAGGTGGCCGCTGTTCGCATGCAGTATGAAATACTGCGTCCTATCTGCCGACATCACTCGGGCGCCGCGGTCGCGGAGCGCCGCCGGCTGCAGCGCCAGGTCCTTGGCCACGTCGCCCACGAAAGAGCCCTTGGGCAGCTCCTCGGGCACCGAGTAGCGCAGCTGTCCCCACGCCGCCTCCCACGCCGCCACCAACACGCAGCACAGCAGCGCTCGCTGCCTCCGGCCCCAGCGCCCTTCCCTCGCAGCGCACATCTCCGACACGGCCCCGCCGCCACCGGACGCCCGCCGACAGCTCCCTCCGCTCGACTCTTAGCCTAGGGCTCCGGATCAGACTCCTTCTCCGGCTCTTGCTCCGTTATCCTTTTCCAGCTCCAGCCCCGCTGCCGGCCGATTTAGGCAGTCCCTCCGCCTCTCTGGAGCTCGGCTCCGTACCGCGGGGCTGCTCGCAGTCCTCAAAGCCGATACAGCGAGCGAGCGAGCCGGGCTGCAGCGGGCAGGGCTGGCTGCAGCGCTCCGCTCCTTCCTCTCCTCTCCTCCGTGGTGAACAGCGGCGCCCGCAGCCTCCGCCCGGCACTGCACGCACGGCTCACAGCGAGCGCCGCCGCCCTGCCTCTTCCGCGGAAACCTTCGGTCCCCGCGGACACGGCGCCACGGCACATTCCCCAGCGACACGACCTTGAGTCGATGCGTTTGCTTCCGGAACGACTTCTCCGAGTAGAAGATCGAATTCATTCTGGTCTTCAGCGTGGTCATGATCACAATGAAGGTAGCGTCCTCTTCTTCATGTCTTAATTCTACTGCATGGCAGGTAAAATTATACGTTTTAATTTGACCTCAAAGTAATTATCGCCCTTACACCATGTGTGCAGGACAGTCACTTCAAGGAATTGCAGAGATCGTTTCTGCAGTCCTTCTTGAATGAATATTTCCTTGTCTCTCCAACACTTTACATTCATTTAAATCTTACATTCGTTGATAATTTGTGCTGTCGTTCCAATGTCAACAACTGATATAAAACAGTTCTCCCTGTACATGTGCAGCATCAAGGAATCAACAGGTGCCTTCAGTACTCTGAGAAGCCTGGGCACTCACTCCACATCCCTGTTATTTAGCAAAGCAGTCTGGGCACTCGCCTCTGATCAGTTTCCCCCACTATAAATGCAGTCTTGGAGATCACAACAGCAGAAGATGCTTTTCTAACTTTCATTCACTTTAACGGTTTTCCAGAAAAATGCCTACCCATAAAACAGAAGAAAACCCCAGGGCATTCACTTTGAATGTATCAGAGAACCATGGGACACGAGCATGCCAGTGTACACAGAGGGGTAAGATAAGGGCAGAATTTGACATCACTTATCAAACACGTCCAATACATTCATTTGAGAAAAAGCCAAAGGAAGACCATGAAATATCTCGAGCATTAAGCATCTATCATATTTTCTTCATTCTGTCATGCTGAATCACTGGATCTCATTCTACACAGTCAGCATTCACATTCATGGCTAATGGTTATTACATCAGTACTTGGCATCAGTTACAGCCCTAGATTATTGCTTTCATGGAACACCTGCTCCCACAGTACCCTTCTGCTCTTCTTTGACTTCACCTTCATAAATGGTGGTGACTCCAGTCTGCACCCTTTCACCTCAGATACCTCTACTCCATAGGCACTTTCTGCCAAATACTTTATTCTCAGGGAAACATCATTGCCTCTTAGGACAGGAACACCATGATCAGAACAGAAATGGCATAGCCCTTGGCATCAGGCATGAAACCAGAGCATTCCCCAGCCAAAGGCACACTGATCCAACTATTTTCCAGGCTCTAAGCCTGCCTCTCAGCCTCTGTACTCTGCAATCACGGTCTCTGTCTGCATCATGGACAACATCCTACTTCTCACCATTGGTGAGAGCAGAAGGAAAAGGGCATATAATTCTCTGACACTTTACTGAAAGAGAGATATATCAAAGAAGTTCTTTTCTAGTAGATCTTCCAGTCTTTTTAGGGGTCTCTACCATATTCAGGCCCAGTCCACAGCAAAAAAAGGCAAAAATGTGAAAATTGCACAAATGAAGGACTTCACTGTCATTCTGCAAATCTTTTTTAATCTCACTCAACATTAGATAGAATGAAATTCAAGGGATGTACTTCCATTACTCAGGAGATGTTTCAGACTGTGTGCAGTGATAATTAGATAGGCCAAAGCCCAGCTGGAGCTCAAGCTGGCTATTGGTCTTAAAGACATTGAAGATGATTTTATAAATACAAAAACAAGAAAAGGAGGACCAAAGACAAGCTCCATCTGTTATTGGATGTGGAGGGGAAACACTGTGACAAGAGATGATCTCCCTAATGGGTTTTTGGTCTCAGTCTTTAGGAACAAGACCTATTTTTCTCTGGGTACCCAATCTCCTGACTACCTGGTAGATAGGGACAGGAAGCAGAATGAAGACCTCATAATCCATGAGAAAAGGGTCAGCAACCTGATAAACTACTTAGACATATGCAAGTCTATGGGGCCAGAAGGCTAAGTGATGGGTCCTTTGTTTGGGTCACAGCAATCCCATGCAGTGCTACAGACTGGGGGAAGAAGACTGGCTGAAAAGCTGGCTGGCCAAAAGCCACCTGCAAGTATTGGTCAATAGCCAGCAGTGTGGCCGAGAGATCCAGCAGCATCCGGACTTGTATCAGAAATAGTCCACCCAGCAGGACTACGGAAGTGATTGTCCCTCTGTACTCGGCTCTCGTGAGGCTGCACCTCAAATACAGTGATCAGTTTTGGACCTCTCACTACAGGAAGGTTACTGAGGTGCTGAAGCAGGTCAAAGTGGGGCAACGGAATTGTTGAATGGTCTAGAGAACAGGTCTCATTAGGAGTGGCTGACGGAGATGGGGTTGTTTAGCCTAGAGAAAAGGAGGCTCAGGGCAGATCTTATCGTGTTCTACAATTACCTTAAAGGGGGGCTACAGCAAAGTGGGAATCAGCCTGTTGCCAGGAACCATGTGATAAAACAATAGGAAATTGCCTCAGATTGCTGCAGTGGAGGTTTACATTGGATATTAGGGAATTGTGTTTCACTGAAAAGACTGTGAAATATTCAGCAAGGCTGCCCATCGATGTAGTTGAGTCACCAATCTTGAAGGTCTTCAATGTTGTGAGCATGTAGAACTTAGTGACGTGGTTTAATGGTAGATAATCTAAGAGGTCTTTTCTGACCTAAAGGATTCCGGGATTCTGTGAACACATCTGTTGTCATAGCACATCTGTTATCAAAGCCACTTCCAGCTCCATTCCTGAGAGGTCAGGGTTCAAAGGATCCTCTTTCCACCAAGAGAACATCACACACAAAGAATTCTCAAACTACTCCCAGCTGTTATGTATGCCTTCCCTATTCATAATAGGCAGAAGGACTTCATTAAAAGATCAATTGCCCAGCCCACTTCTTCACAATGTGCACAGAGACTATACCATGGACAGCTCTAAAGATGTTTCTTTCCACTACATTAACATGACCTAATATTGTGAAGACAATAAATGTTATGCAGCTTGTTTATATACATTTATATTTTTTATATTTAGATATTTTTCAGTATTCATACTAGTAGACCACATAACGTAGACAGTAGGGGATGAATTCTACAGAAGGCTCTTTGAAAGATCCCAATAATATCAATAACATTTCTCAGGAAAAACCTATTGACCAGACAGACTTCAAAGAGCATAAACCACAGCTTTGTGGGGAATGGAATAACTAAAACAAGAGAAAGCACCACCAGCCCTTCTACAGCCTCTCACACAACATTCCCTCAACACGTTACCTCAAACCTTCATAACTTCAATGCTTTTCTTTCACCATCACAATTTGCAAGCAAATCTCACCAAAGGAAAAGTTCAACAAACCTTTTCCCAATCTCACGCACAATGTACAAGCACACCTTCAAAGTATACCATGAAGGGAGCTACATTTCTCTGCAAGTATCTAAAGCCTCCTAAAGAGATAAGGGACAGAGAGGATTCTTTCTGCAACAAAGACTGGGTCTTCCTCAATACATCAGTAAGGAAATGTCCCTCTGCTTTAAGTATATGTGCTGCACTACAGAGACACGTCTCTTCGACTAAAATCATGTTTACATCTAGTCCCCAGACAAAAAAAAAAGGAGAACACACAAACACCCTGGTATCTCCAGTCTTCCACACGAGCTCTGACTTTGATGAAATACAAACCTACTGGCTAACATAGCCAAGGCACATGGACACATAACACATTCCCCAACAAAGCTATGCTGCTACTGACAACACAACCTACATGCAGGGAAGAAACACCAGGAAAAGAAAATATCGGACCAGCAGTACAAAGAAGCATTCAAAAAGAAAGTGTGGTAGAGAAAATCACTGGACATGGGCCACACTCTTCTCTCTGCACTGGAAAAGGCCTCCCTAAACCACCAAGACATCACTGAGGTTTTAAGCTGCAAGCAAAGCCCTAGAGAGTTCATCTAGACTTCATTTTAAGAAATGTTCATCAGCTGTCATCTGTTTTTCTATGATGTGGCCTGCTCATAGTGAATGAATATGAAACTCAAAAAGGAAAGGCCTTAATAGGGGGACCTTTCTGATGCCACGTCTCGTGAACAATGAAGACAGATTCAGTTTCAGCTTCTGTTTCATTTCGCATATACACAAATATTTGTCTCCAGATGGCTGATAGGACCTTCTCAAGGCAGATAAGGACTTACTGCAGTACAAACTATGCATTTTCAAATGTAAAGGTCCTAGCCAGAAAAGGAAAATATGAACCACAACCTTCCTGAGAACAAAGACCTGAAAATGGAATTACAGCTATGAAGAAACTCTTTGGCACAAAGTTATAATAAATAGGAGTGAAGTAATGAGGATTCTCACAGGTATTATAAGCCATAATACGCAGGCATCATAACACCACATGCACAGTTTTACTGCAAAGCATTTTATTACCAGAGAATTAAAGTTATCTTTCAGGGCAAGAAAATCAGAACAAAATGCTGCATAAATGCTTCAGGAATTGGCGCACATTAAGAAGTCAAACCTTTGACTGAACAATATCACTGCTGAGCTACTTCTTTTCCACATTCAAAAAGCAAAGAAAAAAAATTAACAGAAAGAAACAATAAAAAAAAATCCACTCACCATCTTTGCTCTGCATTCACAGCATTCATTTGTACCACTCACAACATCCAAGTTCTAGCCATATGGAGGCCACTGGCAAGAGCATTTCAGCCAGTGACATTTTAAGGAAACATGAGCATATTAAAGACTGTCCTGACAGCACTAAACAGCCACACTGGGAATGGAAACAGCTCTCCCACTCCTATAACTCTAATACATCTTCCAGTATTTTCAGGGTTCTCCGGCATTTTGTCATTGACAACAAACAAAGCAAAAATGTGAAAAAGACAGAAAAGGAACAAGAAAATAGGACAGGAATGCAATCACACATGTCATGCAACGTTTTCAATCCTAGTCAAATATTATGCAGCACAAATTAAAGCCTAAAAAGACACGTTACCCAGGCCATTATTCCACCACACACACTGAAACAACAGCACAGAAGAATATAAAGACATTTCTCTGCTCAAACCATCTTCATGCAGCAAGAGAACAGTTGCACAGAGTAGAAAGGAAAAGCAGCTAAGTGAAACATGAGGTCCTTGAATATTGTTTCAAGACCATCCCAATTCACTAAAACTCTGTGCAGGCATTCTCATTCATTATTAGAATTCACTATTGGAATTTGCTGTTACCGAGAAGAGTGAGTGCTGAATGGGTTAATGGAAAGATGCATCTTGCCTTCCAATTATTCTTACATGGAAAGGAAAATTCCACCTATTCCCTCACCAGACCCCGCATGGTCTCTGCATGCAGGGAAACACTTCCCTAGAGCCCCAAGAAATAGTTCAGGTCTTAAATCTTCCTCTGCACTGTACAGTACGGACATCATAGGAGGACAAGCTCATCAACTCTCATCAGTTTTTCCATGCTATGCCCTGCTTATCTCAAATGAAAATGAAACTATAAATGTAATTGTCTTACTATGGGGCCTTTTCACCTAACAAGTCTTGTGAGCAACTTGTTTCCCTTATACGCAACACCTTGTCTCCAGATGGCTTATAAGACGTTCTCAAGGGAGAGAAGGATTTGCTGCAATAGAAACTTTACATTTTCAAATGTAAAAGTCCTCTCAAAATTGGAAATATGAAGCACAACCTTCCTACAAACAAAGGCTTGAAAATGGAATTACAACTAGGAAGAAACGCTACACCCCAATGCAGATAGCGGTAGACTAATGAGGATTTTCACAGGTATTAAAAGGTATTATACTAAGGAATCATACCTCTGCATACACAGCTTTTGTACAAAACATTTTGGCATCAGAGGATTAGCGTTGCCCTTCAGGAAAGCAAAACCAGGATCAAATGGTCAAAAATTCTTTACGCATTGTCAAAATTATGAACAAACTTAATATATACTACAGAAATTGGCATTCACAATAAAATCGTACCACTGCCCAAACAATATCACCACTTATCACACATTCTGTTCAGATGCAGAACCAACGTCCCAACTCCACTCCTCTACATTTACAGCATTCAGTTGCACCACTCTCAATATTCTCCTTCCAACTGTATGTCAACAGCTAATAAGGGCTTATCATTCTGGGACATCGTGAGGGGAAGCAGAACGGGGAGGGAAAGGCAATGAGCGGGAAGGGAGGCAAGCGCCGAGACGGAGGGCGTCGGGGTGTCCGGAGCGACTGACTCACCGGGAGGGCGTCGGGCGGTGCGCCGCGGGCGCCGGCAGCGTCTTCCCCGAGCAGCGGCGCGGCCTTGTCGGGCGGCGGCCGCGCCGGGAGCGTGTTGCAGCAGCTGTCGGCCGCCCAGCGCCGCTGGCTCTTGCGCGAGTCGGCCGTGAGCGACACCTCGTGCGAGTAGGAGTGCAGGAAGGCGCGGACGCCGTCGATGCCCACGAAGTGCGAGGCCGGCACGCCGCGCAAGGCGCCGCTGGCCGGCGGCAGCAGCTGCGAGCGGCGCCAGCGCCGCAGGCGCAGCGCCAGCAGCAGCAGCAGGAAGGCGACGAAGAGGCACGACACGGCCGCCACGGCCAGCACCAGCCAGCGCGTCAGGCTGCCGCCGGGCTCGGCCGGCGCCGCCGCGCTGCCCAGCTCCGACAGCAGCTCGGCCACGCTCTCGGCCAGCACCACCGTCAGCGTGGCCGTGGCCGACAGCGCCGGCCGGCCCTGGTCCTTCACCACCACCACCAGGCTGTGCCTGGGCGCGTCGCGGGCCAGCGGCGAGCGCGCCGTGCGCACCTCGCCGCTGTGCAGCCCCACGCGGAACAGCCCCGGCTCCGTCGCCTTGGCCAGCTCGTAGGACAGCCACGCGTTCTGCCCCGCGTCCGCGTCCACCGCCACCACCTTGGCCACCAGCGCGCCGGGCTCCGCCGAGCGCGGCGCCAGCTCCACGCCCGTCCAGCCCGCGCCCGCCGACGACGCCGACGACGGCGGGTACAGCACCTGCGGCGCGTTGTCGTTCTCGTCCACGATCAGCAGCCGCACCGACACGTTGCTGCTCAGCGCCGGCGCGCCGCCGTCCTCCGCCCGCACCCACAGCCCCACCTCGCGCACCTCCTCGTAGTCGAACGAGCGCAGCGCGTACAGCGCGCCCGTCTCCGCCTGCACCGACACGTAGGACGACAGCGGCGCGCCCCGCACGCGCCCCTCCGCCAGCCGGTAGCGCACGCGCGCGTTCTGCCCCCAGTCCGCGTCCCACGCCCGCACCGTCAGCACCAGCGCGCCCTCGGCGTTGTTCTCGGGCAGACGGGCGCTGTAGCGCGCCTCCGCGAACACCGGCGCGTTGTCGTTCACGTCCAGCACGCGCAGCGCCAGCACCGCGCTGCTCCGCAGCGACGGCGACCCGCCGTCCGACGCCCACACCGTCACGTTGTACTCCGACACCTCCTCCCGGTCCAGCTCCCGCGCCGTCACCACGCTGTAGTAATTGTCCAGCTCCCGCTCCAGGCGGAACGGGACGCTCTCCGCGATGCTGCACCGCACCTCGCCGTCGGCGCCCGAGTCCCGGTCCTGCACGTGCAGCAGGGCCACCACCGTCCCCGGCGGCGCGTCCTCCGAGATCTCGCTCAGCGCCGACCGCACCGAAATCTCGGGCACGTTGTCGTTCACATCGCTCACCGAGATCGAGACCATAGCCGTGTCGAAAAGGCCACCGCCATCGTGTACCTGCACCTCCATTTCGTAGGAGTCGCCTTCCTCGAAGTCCAGGCTCTTCAACGGCCTGACGGATCCCGTCTCCGGATCCAGGTGGAAGATCTCCGAAACTTTCGTGGAAATCCCTTTAAATGAGTATTTCACATCGCCGTTGAGTCCCTCGTCGGCGTCGGTGGCCGTGAGGGTGAGCAGGGTGGAGCCCACGGGCACGTCCTCGGGCACGCGCACCGCGTACACCGCCTGGCTGAACACGGGCGCGTTGTCGTTGGCGTCCAGCACAGACACGCGGATGCGCGCCGTGCCCGTCCGTGCCGGCTCGCCGCCGTCGCTCGCCCTCAGCACCAGCTCGTGAAACGCCGCCTCCTCCCGGTCCAGCGCCTTGGCCAGCACCAGCTCGGGACGCTTCTCGCCGTCGGCTCCCGCCTGCACGGACAGCGAGAAGTGTTCGTCGCCGCTCAGCTCGTAGCTCTGCAGGGAATTCACTCCCACGTCCGGGTCGTGAGCCTTAGACAGGGGAAAGCGCGACCCAGGAGCTGTCGTCTCGCTCATTCTCACTTCATTTTCTCCTTCCCCAAAGCTGGGCGCGTTGTCGTTAATGTCTGTGATTTCCACTTCGATCCTGTAAACCTTCATCTCGCCCTCCACGATCACCTCACAGCGAAGCACGCATCGCTGCACGCCCTCGCACAGCTGCTCTCTATCTAGCCTCTCCGCCGTCACCAGGTGGCCGCTGTTCGCATGCAGAGCGAAATACTGCGTCCTCTCTGCCGACACCACTCGGGCGCCGCGGTCGCGGAGCGCCGCCGGCTGCAGCGCCAGGTCCTTGGCCACGTCGCCCACGAAAGAGCCCTTGGGCAGCTCCTCGGGCACCGAGTAGCGCAGCTGTCCCCACGCCGCCTCCCACGCCGCCACCAACACGCAGCACAGCAGCGCTCGCTGCCTCCGGCCCCAGCGCCCTTCCCTCGCAGCGCACATCTCCGCCAGTGCCTCGCCACCACCGGACGCTCGCCGACAGCTCCCCGCCGCCGACCCGACTCTTCGCCTGAGGCTCCGGCCCCGCTGCCGTCCGCTCTCGCCGGCCCCTCCGCCTCCGTGAAATTCGGCTCCGTACCGCGGGGCCGCTCGCAGCCCGCACGGCCGCCGACACAGCGAGAGAGCGAGCCGGGCCGCAGCGGGCGGGGCTGGCTGCAGCGCTCCGCTCCTTCCTCTCCTCTCCTCCGTGGTGAACAGCGGCGCCCGCAGCCTCCGCCCGGCACTGCACGCACGGCTCACAGCGAGCGCCGCCGCCCTGCCTCTTCCGCGGACACCTTCGGTCCCCGCGGACACGGCGCCTCGGCACATTCCCCTGCGACACGGCCCAGCGCCGGTGCGCTTGCCTTCTCTTCTTCGAGGGAAATATCGAATGCGTTCAGGTCTTTTGGGCCCTCAGGAGCAGAGTGAAGGCAGGGTGTTCCTCTCGCTGTCTTCGTTTTTCCGCATGGGAAGTAGATTTTTTTTTTGTTAATTCATCCTGTTAATAGTTGTTAGTCTCAACTTACTATTGCAGAAGTATTGTGTACTCCACGAATTTCAAATGTCATTCTTGCCTTCCTTCTTGGTTTAAAGCTTCCTCGGCTTTCCAACAATTTATGAGCACCTAATTCAGTTTCGTTGTAATTTGTGCTGTTGTTTCAATGTCAACAACTATATAATACAGTTCTCCCTGTAAGGGTGCATCAGCAAGCAACCAGCAACCCCCCTCAGCTCTCTGAGCAGGCTGTGCATGCACTCCACATCCCTGCTATAGAGTAAACCAGCTGGAGCACTCATCACTGATCATTTTCGCCCACTATAAATGCAGTCTTGGAGACCACAAGAGCTGATGATTCTTTTCTAACTGTCATTCACTTAAATGGATTTCCAGAAAAAATGTCTACCCATACAACAAATAAAAAACCCCAGGCATTCACTGTGAAGGTAGCAAAGACTCATGAGACATGACCACGCAAGGGTATTGTAGTGTCTTGCAGTTGTAAGATGGGGGCTGAACTTGGCATCCCTTTTCGAACACATATTAGTACATTCATTACATAAAAAGCAAAAGTTAGACCAGGAAATCTCTCCAGTAATAAATATCAATCGTATTTTCCTGATCATGTCATGCAGAATAAGTGGGTCTCATTCTACATAGTAAGCATTCACATTCCTTGGTAATAGTTCCTTCTGCACAGCCAGAACTACAGAACGTAGTACATCAGACAGACAGGCAGGCCTTCTGTCACCAGTTCTCCTGGTGCTGCCAGCATCACAGATAGCTGGCATTGGGCATTAAGCACTCCACACCAGTTTCTACCATGTAACTTTGTCTAGCCAGCATGGCACTGGAGGATCAGACATGATGGTTGTATGCAGTGCTTCACGACATTGTGCTATTAATTTAAGGCAGCAATTGGTAGGAAATCATGCCTGTCTTCTCTACAGTTTCATTCATGCAAAGCAGTAGCACGGCTCTCTCAGTTACTTCTGATTCTAGATTCTGGCCATGTTTTGATTTCAATTTAATTTCCAAATAAATACCTACCCATACACCTGAAGAAAATGCCATGACACTTGGTGGGAAGGGAACAAAGCCTCATGGGAGACAAGCATACAGGGGTACAGGCAGCTGTAAGACAACAGCAGTACTTGGGATCAGTTGCAACTCTAGTTAAGCATTTCCAGAATACACCGGTTCCCACAACACCTTTATGCTCTTCTTTGCTTTCACCTTCATACAGGGTGGTGACTCCAGCTGCACCCTTTCACCTCAGAGACCTCCACTATATAGGCACTTTTTGCCAAATAGTTTACTCTCAGCAAAGCATCATTGCCTCTAAGGACAGGGACACCATGATCAGAAGAGAAATGGTGCGGGCCTTGGCATCAGGTATGAAACCAAAGCATACCCCATTCAAAGTCACATTGACCCAGATATTTTCCAGTCTTTATGCCTGCCTCTCAACCTCTGTGCTCTGCACTCACAGACTTTATCTGCACCACAGACAACATCCTACTTCTCTCCATTTGTCAGACAAGAAAGAACAAGGCACATCATTCACTGACGTTTTATTGAAAGAGAAATATTTCAAAGTATTTCTCTCCACAGGATGAAAAACATTCAAGGTCTGGAAGGAAACGGCTTCCCCAGTCCAACAATTCTAAATGATCTTAGAATCTTTTTAGGGTTCTCTGGCACACTGATGTCCAGTTGAGACAGAAGCAGAAAATGAGGCAAAAATGTGAAAATTAAACAAGTGAAGGACTTCACTGCAACTCTACAAATGTCTTTTTTTTTTTTTTTTTTTTTTTTTTGATCTGCCCCAATACTATGTAAAGTAAAATTCAAGGGATGCACCTGAAACACTCAGTAAGAATATAAAGATATTGTGAGGCAGTGCAGGGAGAAAATTAGAAGGGACAAAGCCCAGATGGAACTCATTCTGCCTAATGCTCTTAAGGACAACGAAAATGTTTTCATAAATACACAAACAAGAAAATGTGGAGTAAGAAGACTCTTCATCTTTTCTTAGATGTGAGAGGAAACATAGTGACAAGAAATCATCTCCTTAAAGCCTTTTTGGCCTCAGTCTTTAGAAGCAAGTCCATTTTTCTCTAGGTACCCCATCCCCTCACAACCTGCTAGTTACAGACAGGGAGCAGAATGAAGCCCTCATAATCCACAAGGACATGGTCAGTGATCTGCTAAAGTACGTAGACCTATGCAAGTCAGTGGGGCCAGATGGGATCCACACGAGGGTACAGAGGGAGCTGGCCAAAGCTCTCACCAAGCCACTTTCCATCATCAGTCCTGGCTAATTGTTGTGGTCCACTCAAACGGGTGGTTAGCAGTTGAAAGCTGATCAGGAGTGGTGACCCCCAGGTCTCAGTATCAGGGCCAGTTCTCTTCAGTATCTTTATCAAGATTTGGATGAAGGGATTGAGTGCATCCTCACTACGTTTTCAGATGACACCAAGTTTGGCATGAGTTTTGATCTCCTTGAGGATAGGAAGGCTTTGCAGAGGGATCTGGATAGGTTGGGCTGACGGTCTGAGGCCAGCAGTATGTGGTTCAACAAGGCGAAGTGACAGGTCCTGTACTTGGGTTCAAACAACCCCATGCAGTGCTACAGGCTGGGGGAAGAGTGGCTGGAAAGCTGCCAGGCTGAAGGAAACCTCTGAGGACTGGTTGATAGATGACAATATGAACCAGCAGTATGCTCACGTGTCCAAGAAAGCCAACAGTATCCTGACTTGTACCAGAAATATTCCAGCCAGCAGGGCTAGGGAAGTGATTGTTCCTCTGTACTCATCTCTGGTGAGGCCACACCTCAAATACAGTCTTCACATTTGAGCCCCTCACTACAAGAAGGACACTGAGTTGCTAGAGCATGTCCAAATAAGAGTAAACGGAGCTATGGAAGGGTTTAGAGAAGTAGACTTACAAGGAGCATCTGTGCGACCTGAGTTGTTGAGCCTGGAGAAAAGAGGACTTAGGGCAGACCTTATCATGATCTACAATTACCTTAAAGGGGGCCACAGCAAAGTGTGGATTGGCCTCTTCTCCCAAGCACCAAGTGTTAAGGGGACGGAAATAGGCTAAATGGTGCACCAGGGGAGGTTTAGGCTGGATGTTAGGAAAAATGTATTTCCTCAAAGGGTTGTGAAGTATTGGAACAGGCTGCCCAGGGAAGTAGTTGAATCACTGTCCTTGGAGATTTTCAAAAAGCTTAGAGACATGGGTTAATGGTGAACTTAACAATGCTAGGGAAAAGGTTGGGCATACCACATGTTTGCCAGCAATACCACTTCCAGCTCCATTCTTCAGAGATCAGTGCTCTAAGGCTCCACGTGCTAGCAAGAGACATTCACACATGAAGAATTCCCAAACTATTTCCAACTATTAGGATTGCCTTCCCTTTTCAGCAAAGGAGATCATCTAAGGTCGAATGAATTACCCAGCGCATTTCTTCACAACATTCACAAAGACTACACCATGGACACATCAAAAGACAATTTGTTTCATCACATTATCAGGATGTAATATAATCACTGTGAAGAGAATAAACAAAATGCAGCTAAGTTATACACATTAACATTTTTGAGCATTCGTAGTAGTAGGGCATGTAAAGTAGATAGTAGGGAATTAATTCCCCAGAAGGCTCTCCCAAAGATCCCAATACAAGCTCATACCATATGAAACTGTAAATGTAAAGGCCTTAATGTGGGACCCTTACTCATGCTAAGTCTTGCGAGCACTGAAGACATATTCAGTTTGAGCTTCTGTTTCATTTCCCTTATTCACAAAAATTTGTCTTCAGATGGTTTATAATACCTTCTCAAGGGAGATAAAGATTTGCTACTAAACCACATAAACATATACAATTCCTCCATAATTGCTGGAAGAATTTCCAAACTACTCCCAACTGCTATGATTGCCTTCCTTCTTCATGACAGCCTGAAGGACATAATTAAAGGACCAATTGCTCAGTGCATTTCTTCACATGCAACATGGATAGCACCAGACAATTTTTTTCTCACCTTGTTATCATGATGTAATACAAACATTAAGAAGAAAATAAATGATATGCAGCTAGGTTATACACGTGGATGTTTTTCAGGATTCATAGTACTAGAGCATGTAAGGTAGACAGTAGGGAATGAATTCTACAGAAGATAACCCAAAAATCCCAATACAAGCTCAATAACATACCTCAGGCAAAAACTAATCAGTAGACAGACTTCAAAGTGCATAAACCACAGATGTGTGTGGAATGAAATAAACAAAAGTAGCAGAGAAAGGAGCATCTGTCCTTCTATAGCCCATCACACAATGCTCCCCCAACCTGACAACTCAAAACTTCCACAATTTCAATACTTTCACCCTCAGAATTTGCAAGCAAGTCTCATCAAAGGAAAAGTTCAACTGACTATTTCCCAGTATCAAGTACTGCGCACAACCACACCATCCAAGTATACCATGAAGGGAGCTACATCTCTCTGCAAGCTTCTAAGGCCTACTAATGAGATAAGGGGAAAGACAGAGAGGATACATTCTCCAGATACTGGATCTTCGTAAATATATGTGTAAAGGAATGTCCCTCTCCTTTTAGAGCATGGGCTGTTCCACGCAAGACATGTCTCTTCTACTAACATTATGTTTACATCCACTACCCAGACAAAAACAAACAAACAAAAATGCACAAGTACCCTCATGTCTCCATTCTTCTACAGCAGCTCCAAGTCAAATACTCAGCTGGTGGTTTACATGAGCAAGGCCCATGTACACATAACACATTCATCAACAAGGCTCTGTGCTACTACTGATCACTCAACCTACACACACAGACAAAAGACTAGGAAAAATAAATCAAACAAGCAGCAGAAGGAAGCACTCAAAGAGAAAGTCTGGTAAAGGTGTCACCTGTGTCACCGTGAATGTGGCACAATCTTCTCTCTGCACAGGAAAATGCCTCCCAAGATCACCAAGAAATGACGCAGGTGTCATGCTGCAAGCAAAGCACTACAGTTTTCATCTGGACTTCATTTCTATAAATATTCATCTGCTCTATTCCATTGTTCCGTGATATGGCCTGCATATCTCCAATGAATATAAGTGTTGAGAGCACAGAAGACAGATTCAGTTTGAGCTTCTGTTTCATTTCCCTTATACACAAATATTTGTCCCCTGATGGCTTATAGGAATGTCTCAAGGGAAATAACGAATTGATGCAATACTAACTTTGTATTTACAATGTAAAAGGCCAATCGAGAAATGCAAAATATGAAGCAAAAATTCCTGAAAAGAAAGGTCCAAAAATGGAATACAACTAGGGAGAAACACTATAGCACAAAGCAGATTAAGAAGGTGGATTAAGGAGGATTTTTACAGGTATTAGAAGCCATTATACACAGACATCATAGCCCTATAAGCAGTTTCTCTGCAGAATACTATAGCATCAAAAGACTAGCATTGCCTTTGAGGAAAGCAAAACCAGGATCAAATGGTGCAAAAATGCTGCAGGCATGGTCGAAATTATAAAATCAAACATAATATATGCTACAGTAATTTCCATTCACAATCAAATCATACCACTGCTCAAAGAATATCACCACTAATCACACCTTCTTTTCAAATTCAGAACCAAGATCTCAACTTCACTCTACATTCAAAGCATTCAATTCAACCACTCTTAATAATTAGCTTCTAAATATATGTCGATCACTAATAAGGGCTTATAATTCAGGAACATTTTAAGGGGAACGACAGTGGGGAGGGAAAGGCAAGGAGCAGGAAGGGAGGCAAGCGCCGAGACGGAGGGCGTCGGGGTGTCCGGAGCGACTGACTCACCGGGAGGGCGTCGGGCGGTGCGCCGCGGGCGCCGGCAGCGTCTTCCCCGAGCAGCGGCGCGGCCTTGTCGGGCGGCGGCCGCGCCGGGAGCGTGTTGCAGCAGCTGTCGGCCGCCCAGCGCCGCTGGCTCTTGCGCGAGTCGGCCGTGAGCGACACCTCGTGCGAGTAGGAGTGCAGGAAGGCGCGGACGCCGTCGATGCCCACGAAGTGCGAGGCCGGCACGCCGCGCAAGGCGCCGCTGGCCGGCGGCAGCAGCTGCGAGCGGCGCCAGCGCCGCAGGCGCAGCGCCAGCAGCAGCAGCAGGAAGGCGACGAAGAGGCACGACACGGCCGCCACGGCCAGCACCAGCCAGCGCGTCAGGCTGCCGCCGGGCTCGGCCGGCGCCGCCGCGCTGCCCAGCTCCGACAGCAGCTCGGCCACGCTCTCGGCCAGCACCACCGTCAGCGTGGCCGTGGCCGACAGCGCCGGCCGGCCCTGGTCCTTCACCACCACCACCAGGCTGTGCCTGGGCGCGTCGCGGGCCAGCGGCGAGCACGCCGTGCGCACCTCGCCGCTGTGCAGCCCCACGCGGAACAGCCCCGGCTCCGTCGCCTTGGCCAGCTCGTAGGACAGCCACGCGTTCTGCCCCGCGTCCGCGTCCACCGCCACCACCTTGGCCACCAGCGCGCCGGGCTCCGCCGAGCGCGGCGCCAGCTCCACGCCCGTCCAGCCCGCGCCCGCCGCCGACGACGACGACGACGGCGGGTACAGCACCTGCGGCGCGTTGTCGTTCTCGTCCACGATCAGCAGCCGCACCGACACGTTGCTGCTCAGCGCCGGCGCGCCGCCGTCCTCCGCCCGCACCCACAGCCCCACCTCGCGCACCTCCTCGTAGTCGAACGAGCGCAGCGCGTACAGCGCGCCCGTCTCCGCCTGCACCGACACGTAGGACGACAGCGGCGCACCCCGCACGCGCCCCTCCGCCAGCCGGTAGCGCACGCGCGCGTTCTGCCCCCAGTCCGCGTCCCACGCCCGCACCGTCAGCACCAGCGCGCCCTCGGCGTTGTTCTCGGGCAGACGGGCGCTGTAGCGCGCCTCCGCGAACACCGGCGCGTTGTCGTTCACGTCCAGCACGCGCAGCGCCAGCACCGCGCTGCTCCGCAGCGACGGCGACCCGCCGTCCGACGCCCACACCGTCACGTTGTACTCCGACACCTCCTCCCGGTCCAGCTCCCGCGCCGTCACCACGCTGTAGTAGCTGCCCACCGAGCTCCGCAGACGGAACGGCACGTCGCCGACCAGCGAGCATCGCACCTCGCCGTTGGCGCCCGAGTCCCGGTCCTGCACGTGCAGCAGGGCCACCACCGTCCCCGGCGGCGCGTCCTCCGAGATCTCGCTCAGCGCCGACCGCACCGAAATCTCGGGCGCGTTGTCGTTCACGTCGCTCACCGAAATCGAGACCGTAGCTGTGTCGAAAAGCTCTCCGTGATCGTGTGCCTGTACCTCCATTTCGTAGGAGTCGCCTTCCTCGAAGTCCAGGCTCCTCAACAGCTTGATCGATCCCCTCTCGGGATCCAGGTCAATTACCTTCGAAGCCTTCGTGGAAATTTCTTTAAAGGAGTATTTCACGTTGGCATTGAGTCCCTCGTCGGCGTCGGTGGCCGTGAGGGTGAGCAATGTGGAGCCCACGGGCACGTCCTCGGGCACGCGCACAGCGTACACCGCCTGGCTGAACACGGGCGCGTTGTCGTTGGCGTCCAGCACAGACACGCGGATGCGCGCCGTGCCCGTCCGTGCCGGCTGGCCGCCGTCGCTCGCCCTCAGCACCAGCTCGTGAAACGCCGCCTCCTCCCGGTCCAGCGCCTTGGCCAGCACCAGCTCGGGACGCTTCTCGCCGTCGGCTCCCGCCTGCACGGACAGCGAGAAGTGCTCGTCACCGCTCAGCTCGTAGCTCTGCAGGGAATTCATTCCCACGTCCGGGTCGTGAGCCTCGACCAGGGGAAAGCGCGACCCAGGAGCTGTCGTCTCGCTCATTCTCAGTTCCTTTTCGGCTTCTCCAAAGCTGGGCGCGTTGTCATTAATGTCCGTGATTTCCACTTCGATCCTGTAAACTTTCATCTCCCCCTCCACGATCACCTCACAGCGCAGTACACATTGCTCCATCAGCCGGCACAGCTGCTCTCTATCTAGCCTCTCTGCCGTCACCAGGTGGCCACTGTTCGCATGCAGAGTGAAATACTGCGTCCTATCTGCCGACACCACGCGGGCGCCGCGATCGCGGAGGGCCGCCGGCTGCAGCGCCAGGTCCTTGGCCACGTCGCCCACGAAAGAGCCCTTGGGCAGCTCCTCGGGCACCGAGTAGCGCAGCTGTCCCCACGCCGCCTCCCACGCCGCCACCAACACGCAGCACAGCAGCGCTCGCTGCCTCCGGCCCCAGCGCACTTCTCTCGCCGCGCACATCTCCGACACGGCGCCGCCGCCACCGGACGCCCGCCGACAGCTCCCTCCGCTCGACTCTTAGCCTAGGGCTCCGGATCAGACTCCTTCTCCGGCTCTTGCTCCGTTATCCTTTTCCAGCTCCGGCCCCGCCGCCGGCCGATTTGGCCAGTCCCTCCGCCTCTCTGGATCTCGGCTCCGTACCGCGGGGCTGCTCGCAGTCCGAAAAGCCGACACAGCGAGCGAGAGAGCCGGGCTGCAGCGGGCGGGGCTGGCTGCAGCGCTCCGCTCCTTCCTCTCCTCTCCTCCGTGGTGAACAGCGGCGCCCGCAGCCTCCGCACGGCACTGCACGCACGGCTCACAGCGAGCGCCGCCGCCCTGCCTCTTCCGCGGAAACCTTCGGTCCCCGTTGACGCGGCGCTTCGGTATATTCCCCTGCGACACGGCCCAGCGCCAATGCGCTTGCTTCCACAACGCCTTCTCTTCTTCGAGGAGAAGATGGAATTCATTCTGGTCTTCATGGCCGTCATGGTCAGAATGAAGGTAGCCGCCTCTTCTTCATATCGTAGTTCTACTGCATTGCAGGTAAAATTATACGTTTTAATTTGACCTCAAGGTAATTATCGCCCTTACACCATATGTCAGGACAGTCTCTTCACGGAATTCCAGAGATCGTTTCTATAGTCCTTCTTGAATGAATATTTCCTTGTCTCTCCAACACTTTACATTCATTTAAATCTAACATTCGTTGATAATTTGTGCTGTCGTTTCAATGTCAACAACTGATATAAAACAGTTCTCCCTGTACATGTGCAACATCAAGGAATCAACAGGTGCCTTCAGTACTCTGAGAAGCCTGGGCACTCACTCCACATCCCTGTTATTTAGCAAAGCAGTCTGCGCACTCGCCTCTGATCAGTTTCCCCCACTATAAATGCAGTCCAGAAGATCACAACACCAGAAGATGCTTTTCTAACTTTCATTCACTTAAACGGTTTTCCAGAAAAATGCCTACCCACAAAACGGAAGAAAAACCTAGGGCATTCACTTTGAATGTATCAGAGAACCATGGGACACGAGCATGCCAGTGTACACAGAGGTGTAAGATGAGGGCACAATTTGGCATCACTTATCAAACACGTCCAATACATTCATTTGAGAAACAAAGCCAAAGGAAGACCATGAAATATCTCGAGCATTAAGCATCAGTCATATTTTCCTCATTCTGTCATGCTGAATCACTGGAACTCATTCTACACAGTCAGCATTCACATTCATGGCTACCGGTTATTACATCAGAGCTTGGCATCAGTTACAGCCCTAGATTATTGCTTTCATGGAACACCTGCTCCCACAGTACCCTTCTGCTCTTCTGTGACTTCACCTTCATAAATGGTGGTGACTCCAGTCTGCACCCTTTCACCTCAGACACCTCTACTCCATAGGTACTTTCTGCCAAATACTTTATTCTCAGGGAAACATCATTGCCTCTTAGGACAGGAACACCATGATCAGAACAGAAATGGCATAGCCCTTGGCATCAGGCATGAAACCAGAGCATTCCCCAGCCAAAGGTACACTGATCCAACTATTTTCTAGGCTCTAGGCCTTTCTAGTCTGCAGTCACAGTCTTTATTTGTGTCATGGACAACATCCTACTTCTCACCATAGGTAAGAGCAGAAAGAAAAGGGCATATAATTCTCTGACACTTTACTGAAAGAGAGATATATCAAAGAAGTTCTTTTCTAGTAGATCTTCCAGTCTTTTTAGGGGTCTCTGTCTCACTCAGGCCCAGTCCACAGCAAACAAGGCAAAAATGTGAAAATTGCACAAATGAAGGACTTCACTGTCACTCTACAGATCTCCTTTTTTTAAAATCTGCCTCAACATTAGATAGAATGAAATTCCAGGGATGTACTTCCATTACTCAGGAGATGTTTTAGGTTGCATGAAGTGAAAATTATTAGGGCCAAAGCCCAGCTGGAGCTCAAGCTGGCTATTGGTCTTAGAGACATCAAAAATTATTTTATAAATACAAAAACAAGAAAAGGAGGACCAAAGACAAGCCCCATCCGTTATTGGATGTGGAGGGGAAACACAGTGACAAGAGATGATCGCCCCAATGCGTTTTGGTCATAGTCTTTAGCAACAAGACCTATTTTTCTCTGGGTACACAATCCCCTGACTACCAGGTAGATAGGGACAGGAAGCAGAATGAAGACCTCATAATCCATGAGAAAAGGGTCAGCAACCTGATAAACTACTTAGACATATGCAAGTCTATGGGGCCAGAAGGCTAAGTGATGGGTCCTTTGTTTGGGTCACAGCAATCCCATGCAGTGCTACAGACTGGGAAAAGAAGACTGGCTCAAAAGCTGGCTGGCCAATAGCTACCTCCGAGTATTGGTCAATAGCCAGCAGTATGGACGAGAGATCCAGCAGCATCCGGACTTGTATCAGAAATAGTCCACCCAGCAGGACTACAGAAGTGATTGTCCCTCTGTACTCGGCTCTCGTGAGGATGCACCTCAAATACTGTGATCAGTTTTGGACCTCTCACTACAGAAGGTTACTGAGGTGCTGAAGCAGGATCAAAGCAGGGCAACGGAGCTGCTGAAGGGTCTAGAGAACAGATCTCATTAGGAGCGGCTGATGGAGATGGGGTTGTTTAGTCTACAGAAAAGGAGGCTCAGGGCAGATCTAATCGTGTTCTACAATTACCTTAAAGGGGGGCTACAGCAAAGTGGGAATCAGCCTGTTGCCAGGAACCATGTGATAAAACAATAGGAAATGGCCTCAGATTGCTGCAGTGGAGGTTTACATTGGATATTAGGAAAATGTGTTTCACTGAAAAGACTGTGAAATATTCACAAAGGCTGCCCATTGATGTAGTTGAGTTGCCAACATTGAAGGTCTTCAGAGTTGTGAGCATGTAGAACTTAGTGACATGGTTTAATGGTAGATGATCTAAGAGGTCTTTTCTGACCTAAAGGATTCCAGGATTCTATGAACACAGCTGTTCTCATAGCACGTGTCTGTTATCAAAGCCACTTCCAGCTCCATTTTTGTGAGGTCAGGGTTCAAAGGATCCTCTTTCCACCAAGAGAACATCACACACAAAGAATTCTCAAACTACTCCCAGCTGTTATGTTTGCCTTCCCTATTCATAACAGGCAGACAGACTTCATTAAAAGACCAATTGCCCAGCCCACTTCTTCACAATGTGCACAGAGACTATACCATGGACAGCTCTAAAGACATTTCTTTCCAATACATTAACATGACCTAACATTGTGAAGAAAATAAATGTTATGCAGCTTGTTTATATGCATTTATATTTTTTATATTTATATATTTTTCAGTATTCATAGTAGTAGACCACATTACGTAGACAGTAGGGGAGGAATTCTACAGAAGGCTCTTTGAAAGATCCCAATAATATCAATAACATTTCACAGGAAAAACCTATTGACCAGACAGACTTCAAAGAGCTTAAACCACAGCTTTGTGAGGAATGGAATAACTAAAACAAGAGAAAGGACCACCAGCCCTTCTACAGCCCCTCACACAACATTCCCTCAACACGTTACCTCAAACCTTCATAACTTCAATGCTTTTCTTTCCCCATCACAATTTGCAAGCAAATCTCACCAAAGGAAAAGTTCAACAAAAGCTTTCCCAATCTCACGCACAATGTACAAGCACACCTTCAAAGTATACCATGAAGGGGGCTACATTTCTCTGCAAGTATCTAAAGCTTCCTAAAGAGATAAGGGACTGAGAGGATTCTTTCTGCAACAAAGACAGGGTCCTCCTCAATACATCAGTAAGGAAATGTCCCTCTGCTTTAAGTATATGCGCTGTTCCATGGAGACATGCCTCTTCTACTAAAATCATGTTTACATCTAGTCCCCAGACAAAAAAAAAAAAGGAGAACACACAAACACCCTGGTATCTCCAGTCTTCCACACGAGCTCTGACTTTGATGAAATACAAACCTACTGGCTAACATAGCCAAGGCACATGGACACATAACACATTCCCCAACAAAGCTATGCTGCTACTGACAACACAACCTACATGCAGGGAAGAAACACCAGGAAAAGAAAATATTGGACCAGCAGTACAAAGAAGCATTCAAAAAGAAAGTGTGGTAGAGAAAATCACTGGACATGGGCCACACTCTTCTCTCTGCACTGGAAAAGGCCTCCCTAAACCACCAAGACATCACTGAGGTTTTAAGCTGCAAGCAAAGCCCTAGAGAATTCATCTGGACTTCATTTTAAGAAACGTTCATCAGCTGTCATCTGTTTTTCCATGAGGTGGCCTGCTCATAGTCAATGAATATGAAAATGTAAACGGAAAGGCCATATTATGGGGAACTTTCTCATACCACGTCTCATGACCAATGAAGACAGATTCAGTGTCAGCTTTTGTTTCATTTCCCATATAAACAAATATTTCTCTGATTATACCTGATAGGACCTTCTCAAGGCAGATAAGGATTTGCTGCAATTCAAATGTCGCATTTGCAAACATAAAGGTCCTAGCCAGAAAAGGAAAATATGAAGCACAACCTTCCTGAAAACAAAGACCTGAAAATGGAATTATAGCTATGAAGAAACAATTTGGCACAAAGTTATAATAAATAGGAGTGAAGTAATGAAAATTCTCACAGGTATTATAAGCCATAATACGCAGGCATCATAACACCACATGCACAGTTTTTCTGCAAAGCATTTTATTACCAGAGAATTAAAGTTACCTTTCAGGGCAAGAAAATCAGAATAAAATGGTGCATAAATGCTTCAGGAATTGGCACAAATTAGGAAGTCAAACCTTTGACTGAACGATATCACTGTTGAGCTACTTGTTTCCACATTCAAAAAGCAAAAAAATAAAAAAAAAATAAACAAACAACAACAAAAACAAACAGAAACAAACAAAAAATATTCCACTCACCATCTTTGCTCTGCATTCACAGCATTCATTTGCACCACTCACAACATCCAAGTTCTAGCCATATGGAGGCCACTGGCAAGAGCATTTCATCCAGTGACATTTTAAGGAAACATGAGGATATTAAAGACTGTCCTGACAGCACTAAACAGTCACACTGGGAATAGAAACAGCTCTCCCACTCCTATAACTCAAACAGATCTTCCAGTCTTTTCAGGGTTCTCCGGCATTTTGTCATAGACAACAAAGCAAAAACGTGAAAAAGACAGAAGAGGAACAAGAAAATAGGACAGGAATCCAATCTCATGCTTCATGCAACATTTTCAATTCTAGTCAAATATTACGCAGCACAAATTAAAGCCT